GACGAAGAATGCAAACGATAAGCTGGAATGCAGTGTTTTTGCTTAAGGACTTATCCCATTTGCGGAAATTTGTCAAAGATTATTTCATAAACCCTAGGCTCTCACCTTTTGAGAAGCCAGTCAAGCACTGAGAGATATTTTATCAAAAATTACACTCGTATGTTTGGAAGGTGATCGTAAAGTGTGATAAGTTCTTGGAGGGCACCATTTATTCCTACTTAACCAGCAGTGCGATGTTCGCGCGCGACTGGCTGCCCGATGAACTGGTCACTACGGCGGCGAATGGCTCTTTAGGCAAGGGATGCTAGGTTTCGCGTGTATACATTAGTGATTTTCGATAACGTCAAACTTCTGCAAACAATTTACTTTGTATCCTTTTTGTGGCCTTTTTACGTAAGCGAATATGGAGAGAATCTCCTTCTCAAAGAGGAAAAAAAAGTTGGGAAGGAAGTGAAAGCGCCGAGAACTTGCAAACATTTTTTGACTTCTGCCGCCTTATGCCTCTAGCTCATGAATAGTGGGCGTCCACCTTACGTTTCATTATGCATCTTAAACGTTGCAAAAAGGGAAATTTTTCGACTACTTAGGGTGCGCATCATGAAAGGCAATCCAGTAGTGATGAATATAATAAAAAGTCTTAGTCTTTAAGTCCTTTAAAAAGTCTTTAAACTCTTAAAATATGCGCTTTTATACATGATGGTTCTAGAAGCCGTTACTCAACAGTTCTACCAAGTGAACAGACCTAAGTACGATTGGATAGAAAGAGCCATGTGGTAATATTCATTCTATATCAAAGAATCTTTTTCTTTCACTTTTGCAATTTATCGGACATAATCTCGTGAGATTCCATGAGATATGTTTTATTTGATGTTATTAAGTGCGGGAAAATTTCTCAAATGGTTCGCCTTAAGTGTTTATGGACCATTGAGAATAAAGACGGAATTGCACACCTTGCTTCAAAAAGAGCTTCAAAACCTCGGTTCATGCTAAAACTATGTTCTATATAAATGTTGTTTTGAAAATCATACTCATCTACGCGATGCAACTTTTTACCCTACATAATAAGAGCTAAGGTCACATTCCGTTTACCATCTGCTTAATATAATCCTACAATCAACATGCTAATTAACATCAGTTTTTTCAATATAAGGCAGTTTCAAAAACTTGATAACTCAAGCTTTTAATTGCCTGACACTAAACTCCTAAATCAAAAGAAATCAGCTCACGAATCCTAACT